GTATCACAATTCAATCCCCATCACCCCTACCCCTTCCTTTCAGTAAACAGATCAGTAACTTCTGTAATAGCCTTTCTCACCCCACCCCCCATCCCTTTATACGGTGAATACAATAGAATATTTTGTCGTAACAATTCTTTTGATACTGTGAATAAAACTATCTTGCATACAAATCTCCGCTTTCATATTGTAAACACAACGTTATCTTTAGACAACCCGCCCCCCCCCCCCCACACACACACATCCTTTTCGTATTATGAACAAAAAAGTATACTTTTCGCCCCCCCCCCCCCTCCCTTTATATTGTGACAAAAAAGTATAGTTTTCGACCCCCCCCCCTTCATATTGTGAACAAAACATTATATGTTTTCAAAACCTCTACACTTTGTCGTACCCTCCACCCCCCCCCCCCCCCCACACACACCCAACGCATTACGTATTGAGAACAAAACAACATCACTTAGCAAAAACCTCTCATCCTTGCCTTGAACAAGATATTATGCCTTTTCAAAATCAGCCCATCCTATTTCTACGAACGCGCCAAGTACTACATCTTATATTTACCTAAATACCTTTGAAACTAAAAACAGAACTACCTGGAAAAGTTTTTTAAAAACCCGGATTCAATTGACCTTGGAGCAAAGTCTAAGTTGACCTTGACCCTGTAGTTCGTACAGGTAAAAGATTGGTGCGTGTTTTATATGGCGGCCACAGGTGTCCTGGACAAAGAAACAAAAAGATTGTTATTTGTCATAGTTTTCTTTTAGCACTGGAAATACATATCCTTAATCTTGATGGCATCTGCCTACACTATCCCTTCATAGGCCGAGGTCACAGAAACAGGTGAACTCTACTTCACTTGCCCCATGAACCGTCAGGTGCTAAAGGGAAACTTTACTTACTTTTACTTGACAAAACAATAGGTTTATTAGTAGATTATTACTATGTTCTTAGTCAGATGAGGCGAGTTAGTTGCGAAAAGTAACCCACCTAGGAGAGAAAAGAACAAATTCAAACAGGATTGGGGCCCCTTAGCTGATTGGATTACTAAATCTGGTTTCCTTACATCAGGTCGACAATGCTGATACTTAGATGTATAGGAAACATAGATAAACATTTTTTATTAATAAACATGATCCCATTACACCAAGCACGTTGTACAAAAAAATATTTTGGGCTTTATGCAAAACACACCATGGGATAAAAATAAAAATTGCAACTTCCCTACTAATCAAAAGATTAAAGAAACGTTGGGATACTTGCATTAAAGAGGGAACTGGCTCCAGAGTTTCTTCCAGGCATCTCTTCGGGGGGTTCGAAGCCCCCCCCCCCCCCCCCCCCGAAATTTTTTACCGCCCCCCCCCCCCCCCCCCCCCCCGAACGGAATGAAATTTATATAATTTATATAGAAAATATATACTTTTAACAGTGTCCGCCCCCCCCCCCCCCGAAGAAAGTTAGCCGCCTTCCCCCCGAAAATTTTAAGTGCCCCCCCCCCCCGGAGAAAAAAGTCTGGAAGAAACACTGACTGGCTGACATTTATAGAGCGAAGTCACCATTAAACAAAACCCAAATTCTTGTCGACGTCAGCACCTCAATCATGCGAGACACTTTACACCAGTACCCGGATGTGTGGGTGTGTGGAGCGAGATTATGTGGGGCGTTTGTCAAATATACGTGCGGGACGAGACTGCGTGTTGTGAATGAGTGGTTGTGTGGGGCGGAAGTGTGTGTGTGGACATTGTGAGTGTGGTCACTTGGCTATGTGTATCGAATTGTGTGTAGCGTGCATGCGTGAGTCACAGCAATTAGTCTTGAATTTTTACTTTCTCGTATATACGAAGTATAGAGAAAGTATTGTAATCGTGCACAAAAATCACTTGAAATTTTAACAATTTTCACCGTATTACACCTCAGTCCTTCATCACATCCGAAGTTTAGAGGACTTATTTTAATCGGGCAAAAATTATCAATCCAGATTTATCAAAACTAAGAGGTTTTATGCGTAATCCAGTCTGAAAAACCGGGCTTTGCAATTCTGTCCGTATGTCTGTGTGTGTGTGTGTCTGTGTGTGTGTCCGTGTGTAAACACGATAACTTGAGTACCGTTACAGCTAGGTTGATGAAATTTCATATATAAGTATTTTATCAAAATCGTAGATCCGTATCAACTTTTGAGCGATGTATTTTTTCTACTTTGAATTTTTCAAAAGCCTATAACTTGAGTACTATTTCAGATAGATAAATGAAATTTCACATGTAAGTATAAGATCTAATTCTCTACCTTATGTTAAATTTTGAGTAACTTCCGTTGACCGGAAGTAGTAATTTACGCTACTTCCGATTTCTCAAAAAACTAATGTAAATTTTTAAAGTACTAATAATATTGCGCACTATTATGCACTTTTTTATATGGCGTTCACTTGGTGTGCAATTCTGTTGTGTACGAGATTTTATTCTATTTTTAAAACTTTAAGAATTTAAAATGGATTAAAAATCATGTCTATAGCCCGAGTTCCATCCCCTGTTGTTTTATATAAGAATATTCGAGAAAGTTTAGGGGAGACCACTCCCGGTTTATTTTATCTCTCATTTAAAATATACTAAACGTTATTATACCTTTGTTGGTAACGTATATTCTTTCCTTTTTTACTTTCTCGTATATACGTAGTATAGAGAAAGTATTGTAATCGTGCAAAAAAAAAATCGAGATTTTTACAAATCTCGACGTTTTACACCTCACTGATACGGAAAAACATAATTTTGCAATCTTGTCCGTATGTCTGTGTGTGTGTGTGTCTGTGTGTGTGTCTGTCCGTGTGTAAACACGATAACTTGAGTACCGTTACAGCTAGGTTGATGAAATTTCATATATAAGTATTTTATCAAAATCGTCGATCCGTATCAACTTTTGAGCGATTTCCGATAACCGGAAGTGGTACTTTTCCTACTTTGAATTTTTTAAAAGCCTATAACTTGAGTACTATTTCAGATAGATAAATGAAATTTCAAATGTAAGTAAAAGATCTAATTCTCAACCTTCTGTTAAATTTTGAGTAATTTCCGTTGACTGGAAGTAGTAATTTACGCTACTTCCGATTTCTCAAAAAACTAATGTAAATTTTTAAAGTACTAATAATATTGCGCACTATTATGCGCTTTATTTATTTGCGTTCACTTGGTGTGCAATTAATTTGTCTACGAGATTTTATTCTATTTTTAAAACTTTAAGTATTTAAAATGGATTAAAAATCATGTCTATAGCCCGAGTTTCCATCCCCTGTTATTTTATATAAGAATATTCGAGAAAGTTTAGGGGAGATCACTCCCGGTTTATTTTATTTCAAATATTGTCAATTGTTAATTATTACACAACTATAGAAGCTTCCAGATGAAAATTATGTGTTGTATCAATTTTAGATTGTTATCAATATGTTTTTAATTTTTCTTCGCATAAACACATTTTATTAAAAAAAAAATTAAGCAAACATTGTATGTGTTATAGGCCCTATATTTTAATTTTTTTCTTATAAACAAATTTTATTACATGAATTTCGCAAAATCTTTATATGTGTTTCAAATTTAATTTATTTATTTCCTTTTTTTTGCCTCAGAAATTTAATTTACAGCAACATATTAGATATTCAAGTGAATGCAAAATATGTTATCACCCAACCAACACGAACTTTATTGGATGGAAATAATAACGCTTTGAGTCCAGGAGCCATCTTAATACTGAGAGCCATGTTGACACTGTCAGCCAATGGCGTAGACAGGGGGGGTGGGGGTTATAACCCCTCCCATGGACTCACACCCATATATATATATATATATATATATATATATATATATATATATATATATATATATATATATATATGTGTGTGTGTGTGTGTGTGTGTGTGTGTGTGTGTGTGTGTGTGTGTGTGTGTGTGTGCGTGTGTGAGAGAGATTTTAAACATATGGAAAAATATTTGAACCCCTCCCATGACCGATTCCTTGCTACGCCACTGCTGTCATCCATGTTAGCATAGTCAGCCATGTTAGCACTATGAGCCATGTTAGCACTATGAGCCATGTTAGCACTATGAGCCATGTTAGCACTATGAGCCATGTTAGCACTATGAGCCATGTTAGCACTATGAGCCATGTTAGCACTATGAGCCATGTTAGCACTATGAGCCATGTTAGCACTATGAGCCATGTTAGCACTATGAGCCATGTTAGCACTATGAGCCATGTTAGCACTATGAGCCATGTTAGCACTATGAGCCATGTTAGCACTATGAGCCATGTTAGCACTATGAGCCATGTTAGCACTATGAGCCATGTTAGCACTATGAGCCATGTTAGCACTATGAGCCATGTTAGCACTATGAGCCATGTTAATCTTAGAGCCATGTTAGCACTATGAGGCATGTTAGCACTATGAACCATGTTAGCACTATGAGCCATGTTAATCTTAGAGCCATGTTAGCACTATGAGCCATGTTAATCTTAGAACCATGTTAAACCATGTTAGCACTATGAGCCATGTTACTCTAAGAGCCAAGTTAGCACTATGAGCCATGTTAATCTTAGAGCCATGTTAGCACTAAGAGTCAGGTTACTCCTTAGAGCCATGTTAGCACTATGAGCCATGTTAGCACTATAGCCATGTTAGCACTATGTGCCATGTTAGCACTATAACCATGTTAGCACTCTAGCCATGTTAGCACTATGAGCCATGTTTCTCTTAGAGCCATGTTAGCACTAAGAGTGATGTTATTCTTAGAGCCATGTTAGCAATAAGAGTCAGGTTACTCCTTTGAGCCATGTTAGCACTATGAGCCATGTTACTCTTTTAGCCATGTTAGCACTGTAACACGGATGTGAATCAATCCGCTACTCCGGGTAAAAGTGTCGTGACATGTGATTGGGTCTTTCTTGCGGGATTTGTCCAATCAGCGCCCGTCTTCCAGTCCTGAACATACAACAAGGTAGATATTTGTCCTGTGTTCTGTGTGTGTGCACCGCTGCACTGAGTTGTGCAACACCGAATGACGTCGTACAACAAACGTGGATTTCTAACCCCTGTGATTAGGTAAAGAATCTTTTTTTTTTATTTTCTTCTTATTTTCTTCTTCGTTTTCTTAAAGTAATACAATTAAATATGAAAAGTGTGTTTATTTTTAAAAGCTGTAGAAAAATTGAAAAATTAATTGTACCTAGATTATAGAAATAAATATAAAACTGGTAGTATAAATAGTAATAGAGATAATTAGGTATATAGATCTAAGTGTGTTTTTAGATGTGTTAAAATATTAATTAATTTGAAAAAAAAATTGAAGTGTTTAAAGCTCTAGTAAAATGTACCTGAGAAATATGTTAAACGTTCGAATACTAATTAATTTTGCATTGATTCATGCATGTTTGTAAATCTGCTGTATACATAGATTCAGGCTAAATTGATATAGAGTTGAAATAATGGTTTCTTTTTACCTTCTGTTGGAGGGGGGGGGGGGAGAATTATTTTGTTAGATGGACGTGCCACGCCATCCCCCCCCCCCCCCCGAAGAAATGTGAAATAAAAATCACTGGTGGACACAAAGGAAAGAAAATTTGTTAAGGGTTAACGTTTCGTTTCTTGTGAGTTAGTTGTGTTATTTTGTACTGGAAGGTATTTAGATAATTAACATTTTTATTAAAACAACAATTCTTTCTTTGCCTATAGAAAAATGGATATACAAACAGAAGAATCCAATTATTTAGAAAGTAAAGAATCTAGTTTTAAGTCGGATGAATCCGGTACAAAAACTGATGAATCTAATTTCAAATTGGATGAAACCAAAACAAGAACTGCTGAATCATGTATAATAATGGATAAATCTATGTTAAAAAATGAAGAATCGATTGCAGACAATTATGAATCGAGTGTTAAATCTGAAAAAGTGATAGAAAAAACTGAAGTCTCAAGCGCATGCGCAAGCGATTCCCTTGCTATGGCTTCTGTCAGTGAATTAACCCTTCAAACAGAAGCCACCAATGATCCAACCCACCCAGTAGCAGACATCACACATGCAGCCACCAATGAACCAACACACCGAGTAGCAAATGACATCACAAATGCAGCCACCAATGAACCAACCCAACCAGTAGACGACATCACACATGCAGCCACCAATGAACCAACCCAACCAGTAGCACACGACATCACACCTGCAGACACCAATGAACCAACCCACCCAGTAGCAAATGACATCACACATGCAGCCACCAATGAACCGACCAATCAAATAGCAGAAGACATCAAGCCTGCAGCCACCAATGAACCAACCCAACCAGTAGCAAATGACATCACACATGCAGCCACCAATGAACCAACCAATCAAATAGCAGAAGACATCAAGCCTGCAGCCACCAATGAACCAACCCAACCAGTAGCAAATGACATCACACATGCAGCCACCAATAAACCAACACACCCCGTAGCAAATAACATCACACTATCAACCACCAATGAACCAACACACCCACTAGCAAATGACATCACACTATCAGCCACCAATGAACCAACACACCCCGTAGCAAACGACGTCACACTATCAGCCACCAATGAACCAACACACCCCGTAGCAAACGACGTCACACTATCAGCCACCAATGAACCAACACACCCAGTAGCAGACGACACTCATCCTTCATCCACAATGGACAGGTCTAACGACCATTCCGTGAAATCACGTGACTTTGAGTTCTGGTACGCTCCCGCGAGATCCAGCGATATCCAACATGGCGGCCAGCACCAACATAGAGGCCAGCACCCGAGTGAGGTTAGAGACCAAAACGCTACTTTGGAAGGGAATCCAACATCAAATAATGATGGTGGTAACGATGACACTCTTAGTGGTGCAAGTTGTGATGGAAGCAGAGGTTTAGAAAATGACGACCATCAGACGATGAATACAACTACCACTGATGGTTCTATTGAAGTAAATCTGATTTTACAAGAAGGTTGCAACAATAATACTTTGTGTGGTAACGTGGGTGAAAATGGTAACACAAACACTAATGCTACTGGTGAGACACCTGATAGTGATACTGGCGAAACAACCAGTAGTGATTCTGGTAGTGCAAATGTTCAAGTTCCGAATATTTCAGTAATAGGCAGCGAGGTAGGAAATGTCTGCAATCTGAACTTTTCTACGGACGTCACTGAAGCTAATTCTAATTCTTGTAACGACAAACCCAATGAAGGTTTAGCTCCCATAGTCACCAAACCAACGCACACCAGCACTGAACAAACCCACGACACAAGCCAATCAGCTGATTATGTGAACATCCAACAATTAAAAGGGAAGTTAACCAACACAGCTATAGTATGTAACGCTTCGAATAACATTGATGACTTAACAAATCTTGGAGCTAACAGCCGTGTTTATGATAAAACAAATGACAAATTACTACACTTTGAAACAAATGTTAACGTTTCTGATGATACAATTACTGATTTCCCACGAGATGCTAACACCAGCTGTGATTCTGGTATTTTCACTGGTAACTTCTCTGATGTTACCAATGCAAGTGGAGAGTGTGAAGATATCACATATGGCCTATCCAGTGACGACACGAACGCTGAAGACTACATTGGTGCTTATTCTCAGACTTCCAGTCAAGCCTCTTACCCTGGTTCACAAGGCACCACTGCAGAATCTAACACAGAGTTCAAAGGTCAGCAACTTGAGGAAGTGATGTTTGAAATTCAGCAACAAAGAGAAATAAACAGGGTAAGGGTTAACTATATATATTCCCACATTTATAATATCTACATCTTTTTTTATGGTAGATCATCTGACCACACAAATGTGATGGCGTGGTCGAATAAAATGTAAGTATAAATTGTAAGCTGGTACCACTTAGAATCAACATTGTAGTGTAAACAATGCCACCTATAATGCTGAAATGTTAACTAGGGTCACCTATAATACTGAAATGTTAACGCGGGACACCTATAATACTGAAATGTAATCTATGACCACGTATAACAATAACATGTAAACTAGGCCATGTATAACAATAAAATGGAAAATATGCCACGTATAACAATAAAATGTAAATCATTATTTCAATTTAAGCCAATCAATCCTATAACTATCATTATTTTATTTTGTATCTACAGAAACGAAATGAAGAACTTAAGCGGTCACTGGAAGGGAAAATTGCCTCGATACCACCAGAGCCTTTAATCTTTTTGGACACAGATAGAAACGTGAGTACTAATCTTAATCCAAACTAATTACATTGTTGGTCCACGGCTATTAGATTAAACTTTAACCTGTAAGTGCAATATTTCATTTGCCGGTTTCTTGAAGTCGATTCACACCTTTGATCACTGCACGTAAAGATGTTCTTGTCTTTAGAAGTCAAATCTCTACCCTTCTGAAATCATGCAAAAGCTTCTAACCATCTGAAGTCATGCCAAGGTTGCAAGCCTTCTGATATCTGAAAAAAGTCCCTAGCTGCCTCAAATATTACTTAAGTCAATGAGCTTCTGTTGTCCTTAGCGTCTGTGATTTTACAAAAGTCCCTAGACGCCTGAGATCTTATAAATATCACCCTTTTGGGATCTTACCATAGCGGCTGAGCTTTTATAATCTTGCCTACGTCTCCAGCCCTTTGAGATTTACCAATGTCCCTAACCATCTAAGGTGTTACAAATAATCATAGCCTTCTAAGATCCTGTCTAAAGCCAGTAAGCTTCAGGGGATTTTGTTGAAATCTTTAAGGTTCTGGAACCTAAACAAAGACTACAATTTACATGCCCACATTTTGAACGTCTTCTAATATTACAATAAAAGCACTTCAGCTTTCCTAAAACCCGTTTCTGTTTCAAGTCAGCTTGACACGTGAAGACATACATTGATTTAAGAACATGATACCTTAATGTCCTCAGTTGTACACAAAACAAGCTTTAGTTTTGTGCCTAGACAGAATGCAATCTAAATGTTCCAGGGTTGTTTTCTATTCTATTATACAATAGGAGGGATTACATAACGAGTAAGTTAAAAGGGGTGGGTATTGAATATGGAGGATGAAATATATGTTATAAGCAGTAGGTGGTTAAGTATGCTTTAAGAAGTAAGTGGGAGGGGGGGGATTAAGTTAGATACGGATTACGGAGGAGGGGGGGTAATCTGTGCATTAAACAACGGAGTGGTATAAAACAAGTATGAATGAATGGTTTTGGGAGGGGGAGGGTAAATTATGTTGTACAAGTATTAAGAAAGGTATAAGGGAATACGTGAAGAGAAGGGTGTTTATGGGGAGGGGAGACAAAATATAAGCAGTTCACGAAGATCCTGTTTGTTTTGTTTTCCCTAAAATTATTTTCGCATTAAGGTCACCTTAATCGTGACTTCATTTTGGGAAAACCGTTTTTTTATGGGTCAGTGGCTACAGTGGGAGTGTGCTACCGGAGGCAGTTGCGTCCCCTCCCATCTCTCGGCGGCCCAGGGCTTATGGAAATCCCGTCCCCGGGTTTGTCCAAGTTCAGTCTCAGCAACAGCTCGTGTCCGGTATCGCCCTGACGTCCACATATAGTTACTGCATGTCTGTGTTTTACATACATAATTTTCTCGTTTCGTGGTAATGTTCCCACCTTACAGGTCACTTACTGATGTAGGCTTTACGTCACCACACAACCTGTTATTATTTTTAACAATGTTTGTAGCGCCCACAAAAATGTATGGTAATATATTACCAGTTTCTGTTATAATTAAACCAGTGGCAAAACTAGAAAAAAGGCCCTACCGCAAAAAAACACATTGGGCCCCTACCTATATAAACATTATATATATATATATATATATATATATATATATATATATATATATATATATATATATAAAATTATATATATATATAATTATTATGGTTGGCTGTGGGCGCGCTAAACTGTCTCACCCGCCACCCCAACCACATCCCTCCCTCCCTCGTTGCTGGATTTGGCGCATGGTTATGGTAGAGTCCGCCCTTTCATTAGCCGAAGTCTTGAAAGTGTATCACACAAAAATAAAAGGATTACAGCAAAATATAATTAATAGGACCTTTTAGAATAAAGCACACCCTCTTTATTCATGAAGTACGACAAGTTTTATTACAATAGAAAAAACAAAATCAAATTGAATGTAGTTTCTAATAACTAAACAGCGACAAGAAAAATATACCTACATGAACATAAACAAAATAATGTATACATTAAATTATTGGCGGCTATGCAGTAAATACAGTTAGCTGGCGCGTGGTACTGGCTATAATGAAACAGCAAGACATACGTGTAATTAATAAAGAAGAAACATATTTTGTTTATTTAAGGCTGTTATTTCCAGTTGAGTTATCTAACGCAGTTCAATGTTGTTTTTTATATTAACAGATTCACTACGACGGGCATGGTAAAGTCATTGATGTAAAAGTAATTGAAAACAAAACTAGCGAAACAGACACATCGGTAGACAGTGGGAGGCGCACTAAGGAAAAGCGCAATGCAAGAAGGAAAGGGGAGGCCCACACAGAGAACAACATCCGTCAGTGTTTATATGAGCCAGTGTGTCAGCCAATAGTCATGAGACAGACGTATGTAACCGCTGCTCCACCATCCACACAGCGGACAGTAGTTTCAGCTCAACAATCCATTCAGCGAACAGCAGTGTCAGCTCCACTTTCCACTCAGCGAACAGCAGTGTCAGCTCCACTTTCCACTCAGCGAACAGCAGTGTCAGCTCCACTTTCCACTCAGCGAACAGCCGTGTCAGCTCCACTTTCCATTCAGCAAACAGCAGTTTCAGCTCAACAATTCATACAACCAGCAATAAAGTCAACCCCTAGAGATGGACTGGAAAATGTTGAGTCAGTTTCCCCACATAGACAAGCAAGCACACAGGCTGTTTTACATGAAAGAAACGCGCAGATAGAAATAGTTTCACATGATGGAAATCCTCGCGCAGGAATAAAACAAAAAGAAGTAGTTCCTCAAAATAAAAATCAAGAAGTATCAAAAGAGTTAAAAGGCAGGAAAAGAAAATATGAAGACATGAGATTAAGAAATCTAACGAATGTAAAGACATCAGAGATCAGACAGCTGCCTATACACCGGAAAGAGCGAGATGAATCAAATTTGCCTGTTCAGCGAACGACAAGAGAGATCTCGCATCAACCTGTTCAACAAAACACAAGAGAGATATCACAACCACTGCAGGCCACAGCACCACCCTGGCCGGGTGAGGCTCATGACGTCATCCAACCCGCCCCAAACCCAGTTCCAGCGCGATCAAGCAGCATGACCAGACTGTATCCGGTCCTCCCTACACTTGTAGAAGGACAAGAATGGTCTCAGAGAAACACCACACCATCATACGCTACACCACAACAAGAAATGTCAAACGTGGCTTTATCAACAAACCCACTCTCGATTATTCACCAAACCACCAACCCTCAACATTTAAACCCTCATATTTTAATAACAAATGAAGAAAACACGGCTACGCACCGCTACAATAACTTCACTACTGAAGCCGATCCAAGTGCTGGCTGCGTAACACCACTGACAGACAACACCGGCGACAACTACCAAGTGTGGTACACCAGCCAGGAACAAGGACCAATGACAGGACAACCTGAAGATGGTACTCCACATGTCTTCAACGGAAAGCCACCATTTTCCCAAGGAAATATTTCGGTAACTATTTCACTTCACAATTGTATTAAAGTTTCTTGCTGCTTTCTATTTTGAACCCACCCCCCATTCCATACAAATACCCATACTGAACATAATTATCTTTACAGAAGGAAAGAAGTTTAAAGGGTCAAGTCCCTAACTACCTACCATTCAGCATCATTGTTACATTAGTGTGTTGTTTCCCAGTTGGAGCAATAGCCCTTTGCTTTGCAATGCAGGTACGTTACGTAAATGTTTACACCTATAATTAATATACATGCACAAATAAATAAATTGAAAATGTATGTATATATAATTATATATATATATATATATATATATATATATATAATTATATATACATGTGTGTGTGTGTCTGTGTGTGCGTGTGTGTGCGTGTGTGTATTTCATTTAATGTAAATAAATACTTGTGAACTACATATTTTTGGGATTTCATCTTGCTTTTAAAAAGAGACTTAATTGGTAGGGATGGTGTGACTAGTATCATATTTACTAGAGAATTAATTTATAAATGTAACTAAATAAGATAAAGAAAATCTAGCCACCCAATAAAATACCTTCTCATTTTTCCCCAGGCCAAGAAGGAAGAGAAACTGGGCCTTTTGGCGACAGCAAGACGTACCGCATCACAGGCTAGAGTACTCTGTGTGCTAGCCGTTCTGTTTGGGCTTATGATGTACGCTGTCTTGCTTTATTTCGTGATTACCAACGTCACGAAGACGATGAGATCGTTGTAAAGAATGTTTGGTATGATTGTACCAGCTTTTTATGATTGTACCAGTTTGTTAAGTGTTGTACCAACTTGTTATGATTTCAACCAGTTTGTTATAATTTTAACAAATGTATTATGATTTGAACTAGGTTGTTATGATTTGAACAACTTTGTTATGATTTGAACCAGCTTGTTATGATTTGAACCAGTTTGTTATGATTTGAACAAATTTCTGGCAGGACTTTATATGAAGAAAACAACAAAAGACTTTTTTTGTATATTGTAACAAAAATTTAAAAAAAAAAACTTTATTTTTACACAAAAGTAAACTCGCATATTCTATATATTTTATTCGCATTAAAAAAGGATGTTCGAAAATATAACAATTTTTATTTTAGAAAACAATAAAAAAGTCTGTATCTGTCAAAATAATAAACGACAAGACTTTATTTGAACAAAGCAATCAACATCTTTTTTCGGAAGGAGCGATTAATAACGTTGCTTGAATAAAAGAAAAAAGCTGGGTTTTTTTGTTTTAGAAAAATAAAAAAAGAAACAAAAAAAAATAATTTACATCAACGAAACTATAAACAAATTTACTTAACACTTAAACAAAAAAAAACTACTAAAATGATTCAACAAAACAAAAATCCACGTGAAGAAAAAAAAAAGAATTATTTTTCTTAAACAAAATAAAAGCATATTCCATGATACTCTTCAGTTATACAAATCCTATTAATCAACTTTTTTTTCTCCATGTGATGGTACTATTATTTATAGCTATGCCTTTTTAAAGTAATTTTTTTTAAACTCCCAATATTATAATTATCATTAAAAAAGTTTTTAAAAAATACCCACGTTTTCTGATTGAACTAAAAAATAGAAAATAAATTCTATACCTCACAATAATGCAAGCGATCACTCTACTATAAGCGATGAAAAACGTGGGGCGCCGAAGTAAAAGTTATATTACTATTGATTAGATAATACTATTGACTTTTATTAGGGAGCTTGTAGAGAGTCAACAGTATTAGAAACTGTAAGAAAATCACGGCGCCCCACGTTTTTCATCGCTTATAGTAGAGTGATCGCTTGCATTATTGTGATGTATAGAATTTATTTTCTTCTTTTAGTTAATTTTTTAGTTTAGACATATGTCCCCGGGCGTCGACCATAGGGGCGCCAAAATAAGCTCATTTTAGCCTGCTATTTTGAAGTATAAATATTAAAAATATAAGGGGGGGGGGGGCGCCAAATTGAAAGTTTGTCGGGAAGATGTCGCTACGCCTCTGCACGACCCTGAACGCCATGAACACCTCCTGTGTGTGTGTCTGAGAGTGTGTTTATATATGTCTGTGTGTATGCGTGCGTGTATGTGTGCATGTGCTTACGATAGGCCGGGTGTGCTGATTAGCGGCAGATAATTCGTTTTATTACGTCTTTGAATGAAAACCTAACAAAACCTGATCCTGTGGTTTTACTACCTGTATGTCATAACGAGGTCACCTCGCTAACAAGGTCACCTTAAATCTGTTCTTTGTGCGTCGCACGCACGAGAGAACATATATTCACACACCGTTTATACCGTAGTTTGCAAGTTTCTGCCAACATAAAGTAGCAAGCAATGTGATAGGACTGTACAGCAGAGGCGTAGCGACCCTACCCGGCGCCCGGGGACAAACTTTCGATTTGCACCCCCTTCGAACTTTTTATTTACACCCCCCTCAAAGTTTAAATTTGGCGCCCCCCCCCCCCAAGGTCGGCGCCCGGGGACATATGTTCCCCCCCCCCCGCCCGTCCCTCCCCCCGTCGCTACGCCTCTGCTGTACAGCCGCTATATTTACGTTAAAATCTGAAGACACTTTGCAAAAAGTTTTATTATAGATAATCTAGATCGATATTGAATTGAGAAAAAACATTTCCTTTTCGTTTACACGAGTCTAAATAGTTATTCTTCAGGGACTAAATTTGAAAAAACAATGTATTAGTTCCTAAAAATATGTTTGTTCGTTTGTTTGTTTGTTTGTTTGCTTAGGTCAGGTTGAATACTAAGCCTTGTCTTAAAATGAAAACCACCTTCAATTGTTCTCTATAACAATCTATAATATAGAGTTTACCTCGAAGGCTAGCACAAGTTCAAGAGATTAAGAAATATTTTTTTTTACCCATGTCAGTAACCAGAGGGGTAGCAAGGAGGGGGGGGGGGGGCGGGGGCGGAACGCACCGGGCGACACCATTTAGGGGAGTGACTCCAAGGCAAAAAATAGTAAAATATATAGAGAAAAACTTGAGAGGGGGGTGCAGATCGAAAGCTTAAGAGGGGGGGGGGGAGGGTGCAAATCAAAAGTTCGAGGGGGGTGCAAATCGAAAGTTTGGGGGGGGGGTGCACATCGAAAGTTTGAGGGGGTGGGTGCAATTCGAAAGTTTGAAAGTTTGTCCCTGGGAAGGGTCGCTACTTCTCTAGGGGGGCGACATCATTAAGTGCCGCACCGGGTGACACCAGACCTCGCTACGCCACTGTCAGTAACTGACATTTCTCGACTAATTCATAAGCAGGTGAGGATATTGGAGGGGGAGCGGGGAGGGGGTGAGTGACAGGCTGGGAGCTTATGGAACATAAACAACTAACAGGGTAGACTTTAAATGTCTAGGACTTTACCCCAGCCCCTCCTGTCAATTATCCACCGGACATCCCTCCACGAAATATAGCCTCCCTGACACCTGCCCTAAACTTAAACCTAACATTAAACCTAAACCTAAACCTAAACCTAAACCTTAACCTAAACCTAAACCTAAACCTAAACCTAAACCTAAACCTAAACCTAAACCTAAACCTAAACCTAAACCTAAACCTAAACCTAAACCTAAACCTAAACCTAAACCTAAACCTAAACCTAAACCTAAACCTAAACCTAAACCTAAACCTAAACCTAAACCTAAACCTAAACCTAAACCTAAACCTAAACCTAAACCTAAACCTAAACCTAAACCTAAACCTAAACCTAAACCTAAACATAAACATAAACATAAACATAAACCTAAACCTAAACCTAAACCTAAACCTAAACCTAAACCTAAACCTTAACTTTAACCTAAACCTAAATCTAAACCTAAACCTAAACCTTAACCTTAACCTTAACCTTAACCTTAACCTTAACCTTAACCTTAACCTAAACCTAAACCTAAACCTGAACCTGAGCGGGTTCTACCTTATTTATTGGGTTTGACGAATGCAGCATAAAATCCACGACATTTTTTATACCAAACATGTAACTCACTTCACTAGTTCCCATATGACGTGGTAAAAAAAATAAACATAAAACTTGCATCATTTTAACCAAATGTTACAACATCAATCAAAACAGAGTTGATTTGGCGCAAGAGTTTCGGGGGTAAGTCAAGGTGTATTATAAGCTAAACGTAAAATATTTGTAGAGGAATAAACGTCGGCGATTTGACTCTCCATGTGGCACATTAAGGCTTACAAATCTCTATTTTTTGGTCTAGTATGTCATTTAGGGTTAACAGCCAATGTATCGATATGACAGGTACATGTCAGTGCCAGTGACAGCTTAAAGATCACAAACAAACCAAACAAACCCTTTATTGATTTGACTATACCACGGTAAGTTTAAAGTTGCCTTTCAAACCTCATGGTCTATGGGGCAAGTGAAGTAGAGCTCACTTGTTTCTGTGACCTCGGTATATGAAGAGATAGTGTGGTCAGCACTATGCCCAGCCGCCTTTACTTTCCTAAACGTGAGTTAGGTACCCATCAGAGATGGGTGGAGTCAGGGACGGTCTACTGACTAGAACCCGGATTCGAATTCGAGACTTACGGGTTAGCAGTCCAGCTCTCTACCGCTAGACCACGCCGTCCCATAATACCACGGTGTAGACTCTATATATTCCAAATAAATTAATGGAAAAAATATTAATATAGTTACCGTTATTATGTCTATTATTAGAAATATTGGGAACAAATAATGCAAATAGATAAACCTTTCCCAGTAAACAAGTTCAGCGTAAGCGTCGACTCAACGCCATTTTCTTTAACACTGATTGTCAGTCAATATTGTAAAGTCAGTCTTTAGACAGGTCAGCATTTAGTTGTCATTCTTTAACAATTTAACAAGTTCAGACTTTACTCAAGTCAGTTTTTAGTCAAGTCAGTCTTTAGTCAGGTATGACTTAAGTCAGGTCGACTTTAGTCAAGTCAGTCTTTAGTTAGGTATGACTTTAGTCAAGTCAGACTTTAGTCAGGTAAGACTGCAGTCAAGTCAGTCTTTAGTCAGGTATGACTTTGTCAGGGTGTTTTTAGTCCGGTAAGACTTTAGTCAGGTAAGATTTTAGTCAAGTCAGTCTTTAGTCAGGTATGACTTTAGTCAGGTTGACTTTAGTCAGGTTAACTTTAGTCAGGTAAGACTTTAGTCAAGTCAGTCTTTAGTCAGGTATGACATTAGTCAGGGTGACTTTAGTCCGGTAAGACTTTAGTCAGGTAAGATTTTAGTCACGTCAGTCTTTAGTTATGTATGACTTTAGTCAGGTTGACTTTAGTCAGGTCAGCCTTTAGGTACCACGAACCCGTATTAAAATACTGCAAAATACATTCAGCGCTAAAAAACGAACACTACATTTTAAATATTGGCTTGCTATAAATAGACGCAGCCTTACCCGAGCCTTAAGACAACATAACACAGTATGGTTTCATGACAAACGCAATAAAATAAGTAAAGGTATCCCTCCTGACCCGATGATCACAAGGGCAGATGAAGTAGATTTCACCATACTACAGCTTATGAAGATATGGTGTAATAAGCACTATACTCAATTAAAAACTCAATCGCCTTTACTTTCCAATTGTGAGTTGGGAATTCCATATAGCTGAGTGGACTCAGGGACGTTTTACAAACACGCTAGACAAACACACTAAAAACCTATTTAAAATGATCATACATAGAGTTTCAAAATACTTCCCATTTGTGGCAAATATGCTCTAGCGAGTCATACCGCACATAAATAGTTATAGCCGCAGCTACAGAATGACCTGTTTAGTCTAGGGTTTGTCTCGTTGGACAAGAGGTCCCTTAATAATTAGTGTTGTGCGTTTATTAATGTTGTGTTATTATTATTGACTGATTGTCGATATTTGGCTCAGTGAAAAGGGTTAAAATTATGATTGAGTAATTAACTCAGTTTCACAATCATTTAACTTGTATTAATACATTAATTATTGGCATAAGAGTAATGATATAACTTAGATTAGCCTGGAAGGGGCGACTGGTCTTCAGGGCGGCGTGGTCACACTTCCTCACACACAGACCTCTGTACTAAGTTTTAGCCCCAAGCTGGCCGGCTTC